GGTTGGGGGAAGATGGGAAGGTGGAGTTTTCATTCACTTTTATTATTATTATTATTCTCATATTTTTCTTTTCTCTTCCTTCTTTTTCTTTACTTTTTATGAAGTGAGCATTTCCAATGTATTGGAAATAATAATGATAATAATAGATAATTGATATCAAAACAAACAAACAAAAATCGATATATCATTAAAATAAAAAATAAACAACAAAAATTTCAGCTTTTAGTTAGTTTTAGGTGAACGAAAAATGGGCTGGAATTCAGTTTTCCTGCACAAATGTCAACATATACAGTCTTATGTACAGTATGTGTGTATGTTCGTGTGCATGCTCTTGCGTTTGTTCATTTTTTAAGCTGACACAGTGTTTTCTTGCCCTCCCTCTTCACTGCTCAGTGAGACAGATCCAGTAACACTCATGTTAAACACTCCTTTACATAAATACATATTGGCAGTTTCCACTTTGACCATTTACATGTTTTCACTTCACATCCTCCTCACTGCTCTGAAACTCGGTAAAGTCTGTTTGAGCTGCTGCTCCATTCAAATGTAAAAATAGCTGCTTTAACATTCAACATGCAGCTGAAGGCAACCACACATTATTTAATCAACGGCGAGTCAAAGAGTTGGATGTTCGTTAAAGTAACAGATCACACAAGAGGAAAAGGAAAATCACTTTTATGTGTAGATGAGAGTACAGGTTTACACAGGAGCTTTCATACATGTCATACAGCATGTTGTGGTTGTATTTGTTTGTAGATGCACCATGAGTGAAACTTTAAAGATAAAATTGCACAGATTATGAGGTAAATGTCTCAAAATGAGAACCACTGCAGAGGCGTTTTTTCATAATTAGGAATCTGCTGTAAATCTAGATGTTTGCTCCGTGAATGACAGCTGTCAAAAAGCAACACTGTGCTGTGTTAAACCCACGGTGCTGTGAGACAGTGACACACTGAGCCAGAAAAAAAGTTTCCAGGAAATGTCACTTCTCGTCCTCCATTAAGGCCCTTTAATGTTTCATGTTGATTTTCTTCCTCTCCTGACATTTAATCTGTGGTGACGGCGTGTCGTCATCAGGCAGCTGACTGACTGACCTTGAGGACTGTTGACTGGTGAAAACACTGAGGCTGTCATGGAGAATCATGGAAAAAAACAAACATCACCGTCTGTGATAAAAAGTCAGAAACACAGTGATTTATCAAGTTGCTGCAGGTAATTTCTCTTCTACTTATGCACCACAACCCAACAGTACTTACAGCTTTTATTCTGGCAACAAGTAATAAATGAAACATAGATTAAATGTTTGTTTTTTTCTGTAGCCCACCCACTCAATTCTAATTTTGTGACAGGATTGTCATGGCGTGATCCCTTCATGTCTGATAATCCTTTTGCATGGGAGGTGAATTGGTGAGGGTCTACTAAAACGTGAATTAGGATGTGCGTACCATAACTAACAAATTTGGCATATGACTCTGACTAAGGTGCAGAGGCCTGGTTAGCTTATTGTATTGCTATACTGTTAATGTCAGGTTAAAACTCCCATGCATATACTTAAACTATTGTCCTTTCTTTTACCACATGACTCCCATTTCTACCAAACATAAACAGTGAAACACAAAAAAAATAACCAGCTGCCCACCCCTCTCTCTCTCTCTCTCTCTCTCTCTCTCTCTCTCTCTCTATATATATATATATATATATATATATATATATACATCTGTTTTCCATCCCGGAGTAGGGTCTGCAGCGCTCCCCCAACCAAACTCCAGCAAGTATCCTGCAGAGCTGTAGACGTGCGTGTGGCTACATTCATACTGTAGTTGAGGTCAACGTCAGTCTGGCGTTCCACACATATGCATATAGGAGATAATGCAAGAGAATAGGAGGGCTATGAGTTCAACGCCATTTTGCTCTTTGTATTGTTTCAAAGAAGATTCTTATAAATATGGGTGACAACAAAAACAGTTCTCTTTTGTGATTTTTCATTTAGATTTCTCTCTCTGCACATGAAAGATCTCATTTATTTTCATTGTTTATTGGTTTACAAATAGCTGCGGGAAACTTGATGTGCAAACTTTGCTCAATCTGAGTGACCCATCTTTTCTTAAATCACACTTTTATCTTACATGGCCAATTTCCAGGGAACTCTGGGCTGAGAAACCATATGAAAGATTTATTTTGTCTGGAAAAACATAAAGTGATGAGCCAACCTCTCTGAACCTGAGCCAGGGAAAAGGCAGCAGCAGCTCAGAGGAATCACTGATAGGATCATTCCTGTTCCAGTCCTGAACTCAGAGGGGGTTGCCTTTAGAAATACCTCTGAACTTTTCACATCCAATTTAAATCTGACCTTTGATTCAATCACATACACAAATACATTTGAATCAGCATGCATGGCAGGTATTTTGTTATTCAAACAGGAACTGTGCTGCATCATAACCAAATGATTTTAGTTGCTGTGTTAAATGTTCAGTTTTCAGGCTTACTTACCCACCTAACAAAGCAGTGAGCAGCAGATGCAGACTATTTCACTCCTCAGTGGCTTTTAGTTGCTGCTGTTCATTGTGTGAGTTCTCTCATAATCACTTTTTAATGATATTTGGTGCCATCTCAGCCGCGAGGCCGACCTGAGGTCCTGCCGTTTCCCGCACCTGCATGTTGTCCATATGGGAAAAATGAGGATTACAGAGATGTGGGTCAAATCGTGTTACTGAAGAGCTGAGAACAGTTCACTCTGACGGGGGCAGCTGATCAGAGTCTGGGTCCAGACTGAAGTGAAGAGGAAACACTCTATCTATCTATCTACACTATCATGTCTAAAAACAAGCCGGTGATTGTTTGTAGAAAACCACAAAAAGAGGCCCTCATATTGGCACATTTTACAATGATAACTATAAACCCACTTATGAGGCACAACACAGTTCACTACTGCTGCCCAAACCCCCTCTAAACTGTGGCCTCTGATGATGTGTGCTATAGCTAGCATCTACTGACAGCCAGCATGCGAGGAGTTCAGGGAACATTGGTAAATCGTACATCTTACATTTAAACAGATGGTTTTCAAAGTAAAATATTTCAGTGCTACAGTTTAGTGTTTAAATTTCATAATCATGTATTCAGTTGCTTAAACAATTTAAATCTTTATGGCCATTATTCGTTCCATACACCTGCTGCTGTTGTGTTGATGATGCAGGATGATCGTAATGTGATATATTGTTCATTTATTTTTAATTTTTTTTTTTTGTGTGTGAACATTCTCAAAACCTGTGTGTAATATTCTTTGTCATAAAGTTGGAGTGACATTGTTTTTCTGGCTCAATTTTGAATTGATTTGTTTTATAGTGTCTGTTTACCCGTTGTAGCAAGGGGGGCTTTAAGTGTGAGTGACGTAGCTGGAAGCTGGAAAACTGTTGTGCTGTGGAGACCCGGCGCGGTGGTCTCTTTCCCTTTGGTAAGCTAGCACTAAACTGCTTTAAAATTATTCTGTAGATATTATTTGTGTGTAGCTGAGTTTTACAGTTAGTTTTGCTCGTAAAAAAACTCCTATTTTTCTTAAATCTGTCTGAGATTTGTCCTCTGTGGCATTCTGTCGGACTCGCTGCAGGAGTCAGTGTGTTGACGGTCCCCCTTGCTGCTCTTCTAGGTGCGTAATGGTGTTTGATTGTTATTTGTAATGTTCTTGTGTACTATTATTATTGTGTGTTACTGTAGGATTGCACTGAATGAGTAGCCTCATAATTTAATAAACAAGCTTTTTTATTTAATGTGAACTTTATTTTTATTTTTTTAATGTGATGCCCATATTTATATATAGATTTGAGATTGAGGCGTCAGCTAAAGCCAGTGAATTTTGTTTACGTGAATATTTATTTTGCTAATTTTCATTTTTGCTTTTAATATAACTACTGTGAAGGCATTCATTATTTTTTGTGCACACTTTATTTATTTATATTACATATATGTATGAATTTTAATGTACATACATACATACATACAAAAAAAAAAGAGAACATGTGAGGACAGGGAGGAGCGCTGACTCAGCAGCATCACTGATGAAATCCTGCTCACTCATCTCACCTAATTTAATAAGTTTACTCGACATCAGCATTTCAGTTAAGTGGGCGCTGACAGGAGTGAAGCAGCAGCATGTTAAAGGGTTGGACTGTGTTAAACTGAGAATCATGGTCAGATGTCAAACACACAGTTCGTTATAAAGGGAAACTCAATAACCGAACAGCATCTTGTTTCACCTCATTGTTGTCTTTATTCTGATGGAGTACTGGCTGGCTGTGTGAGGTAGAAGGTGGGTGAAGTATTGGAACAGCTGATTGGTATATTAATCACTTACAGGTTGATAATTTGATTCAGATGAGGAGGTTTTAGGCTCATTAACTGAAAGATTTAATACAAATTGCAGTCTGTTCAGTGTATACAAGAATACATAGAGACCATAGTGACATGTTTTTCTATAAAAATGTTTGAACAAGAATCCCTACCTTGTGGTTGTATGACTTTGCCAACCAGTCAAGTTGCAGGAAATATGATCACAATCTCCCCTTCCTGAGTTACTGCATGAAATAACAACCAGAAGTGTTTTTGCAGAACGTTGTGATGTCACAGTGAAGTTGACCTTTTGGATGTAAAATGTCATCACTACATCATTTTATCCTATTAGACATTTGTGATAAACTGAGCCATAAATGACCAAAGTCGTGTTTTGTGAGGTCACCATGACCTTTGAACTTTGACCACCAAGTTCTAATTAGTTGAGTCCAACTGCCCGATATGAAGAAATTCCCTCAAGGCGTTCCTAATATAGATCACATTCAGAAGGTCAGTGTGACATTCACCTTTGACATTTGACCAGCAAACTCTAATCAATTCATCCTTCAGTCCAAATGGACATTTGTACCAAATTTGAAGGGATTCACTTGAGGAGTTCCCAAGATATTGTGTTCAAGAGAAAGGGATGGACAGGCTGAAAACATAAAGCTGTCGCTGGTGCGTAGGCATAAAAAGTATAGCTCACATTTTATGTTGAGGACTAGACAGTTACACGTTCACAATATCTGATCATCATTTTAAATGGATAGAGTACCATTGTAAACCAGCTCCTAGTGTTAGAGTTAAATCATATGCTGTTTTCAGTATTAATGCTGAGATTCTGTGAGTATTTTTATGATTTATCTGTTTGAGCTAAAAGTGTCTCATTAGCTCAGTTTAACCTCACAATAGTTTCCGATGGCTTGTATAACATGTTGCTGCCACAGACGTCACCCTGGGTTTCAAAAATGATAAAAAAAAAAATTGCCTGTTAAATGAACTTTACAAATAAATAAAAAAAAACAGTAATTGTGTCATGTGCAGAATGTTCAGACCTGCTTTTTCAGAGTTCAGCTGATGGTAACTGAATGGAAAAAAAACATTTCATAAATGTAGTTAAGCTGCTAAAAGAAACACAAACAGAGCTTTGGAGTAATGAGGCAGCAGGAGGACAGGTGCAGCTTCACCCCTTAAATTCACTGACTTTTCCCTTTAATACATAAACAACATTATAAATATAATCATCCTCTTTATCTCTAACTGCTCTGTTCCACTGTCACAGAGATCTTCAGTGGTGAGATCTTCAGTTTATCAACAGTTCTAATGAATGGAAACAGCTTCTCAGTGGAAGTGTGTGTGATGGTGTGTATGTGTGTGTTAGTATCAGGATCAGAGAACGACAAACTTCCTCTGTTCCAGTCCAGATTCACTCTGATCCTCTGGAGCTTCTTCTGCACTGACAGATCAGTGGATAAAGCTTGTGGTGAATATGCTGAGTATTTACCTCCACAAAACCTTATTCTCCAGAATCCAGACTGTATGTCTCTCTTCCTCTGGACGGACTCTGCAAACACACCCAGTGACCAGTTTGTATTGTCTCCAACCTCGACATCCCAGCTGTGAGTCCCTGAGTTAAAACCCTCAGAGCTCAGGACAATGAGGTAATCATCAAACCTCTCTGGATTGTCAGGAAGCTTCTGTCTCTGTACTCGTCTCACACTGGTCAGATCCTCAGACAGGATGAGTTCTGGATGAGCAGTGTTTGGATCCAGAACCACAGGACTGTAGGAGACCATGTCCTTCATCTTGTTCCAGATGTTGAAGGTCAGGTTGCCCAGATGTTTGGCCTGGTCTATCAGAGCTCCTGAGTCCAGCTGTGGATCATCCAGCAGGGGGCGCTGCTGGACTCTTTCCACTGTAACCTTGTAGTTCTTCAGGAATGAGACGTCTTCAGCTCTCAGCTCGTCCTCTGTGGCTCTGACTGTGTGTGACAGAGCTGCTATCTCTCTGCTCAGAGCCTCCATCTTCTCCTTCATCATCTGACTCTTCTGCTCCTCTTCCTCCCTCAGAGCAGTGATCCTGGCCTCCTCTTCCTCCTCTAGAAACTGGTGAAGCTTCTTAAACTGCTCCTTAATCAGCCTCTCTGTGTGTTGGGCCTGGACCTTAATGTGTTCTGCTGATTGATCAAACTCCTCTTTAATTTGTTCACAACCCTTTAACTTCTTCTTTAAGGGCTCCAGAGTTTCCTGAAGTTCCTTCTTGTGTTGTGGAGCAGCTTCATCGATGGGTCTGAATCTGTGGTTGGTGTGTTTTTCTGAATCTCTGCAGACGAGACAAACTGGCTGCTGATGGTCCAGACAGAAGAGTTTGAGTCTCTCAGAGTGCAGACTGCAGAGAGACTCTGAAGATCTCTGATCTCTCTCCTGTTTGAAGGCCTCACACAGGTTTTTTAAAGCCAGGTTTAAAGGTGGGTGTTCTCTTGAGGATCTTCTCTTACAAACTGGACACTCACGTGTTGGTCTCTCTCTCCACCAGCTCTTCAGACAGTCTTTACAGAAGCTGTGGCTACATGACAGAACAACAGGATCTCTAAAGACCTCATGACAGACAGGACAGCAGAAATCCTCCTCTGACCTGGAAGCCATTTAGTCTGTGAGTGAAACTGAAAACACAGCAGACAGAAAGTACAGTCAGTCCTCTACTAACTTCACTGAGATGTACTTTCACTTTGAGTCGTGGTTTTTGTCAAACTCACCTTCAGTGTGGAGTTTCAGCAGGTTGAAGCAGCAGTGTTGTAGTTTCCCACGTCTCTCTCCTGTAGCTGGACTCACTCAGAGGAAGTTGTTGGTTTGGTCTGAAGGTGAATCTGATCGTCTGTTTTTCAGTCTGTGTCTCTTGAGTGAAGAAGAACAAACTGTTTCTTGGTTTGTCTCAGGTGAGTCAGGTGAGGGGTGGAGCTTCGTCAGACTTCCTCTGATAAATATTGTTGCTCCACCAGTTATACAGGGGTGTGTTTCATTTCAAACTAGTGACTCATTGGTTGAAATATAGACTGATAATGTGCAGCAGGCTGCATTACATGTTTATAATCAAACCAGAGGTGTAATGTTGTGTATACACAGGTACACACTGTACACCCCCTCCTGAGCAGGGGGGGTCTGCATATACCTATCTTAACAAAAGCTACAGATGTGTATCAGTGAGCATCTTACAGTCTCTCATGCACAGTATCCATGGTGTTAATACAGACAAGAGACTTTTGTTTGGCAGAGCCCTGCCACAGGAAACACAAGTGCAAGTGTGACTGTTACACTATATATTTATATTATGAATTATTCTTACTGACATATTAATGTGTAAGTAGCATTTTACTGTTGTAGTTGGTGCTGGTTTTCTACAGCAGTGCATCCGAATTTATCAGCTCATCACTTTTGTTTGTAAAATGTTCATCAGTGAAGAAGATAATAAGTAAAGCTGTCACATAAATGTTGACCAGACTGGAAACATTGAAGTAAAGTACAATACGTTTAATTTATTCTTCAGTACAAGACTTCAGTAAATGTACATAGTTACAATATGTTACTTTCAAATTAAAGGTCCCATATTTTACACCTTTCCAGTGTTTTATTTGAAGTGTTGATCCATAAGAAGATATATTTGTGGTTTTAAGAACCAAAAACCATCTCAGTGTAGTTTTACATCTCCTCTCAATGGCTTCTTGCTGGAGCTCTAGTAAAAACAGGTTGCTTAGCCAATCAGAAGAGAGGAGGCTCTGAGCATCTCTTCTGATTGGGCTTGGGGCATGGCTGAGTGTGGTGACTGCTTTGTTGTGACATCACAAAGTTCCAGAAGTCCTGACGGCTGGTTTTAAGGCTCAGTTTCTGAATACAGGCTGTGTGCATTTCTCTGTGGACTGAGGCTTTGATACTTTCACAGTATTAATATAGAACCTAGACCTGCTTTATAATAAAAAAAGACATGGAAATCTCACTTAACACAATATGGGACCTTTAAAGTTGTGTGGTGGTCCACTGGAGCTAGAGTATACCCACCTACCGAGACACCACTGGTTCAAATGTAGCCTGAAAGTAGCTTGAACGTAGGTGAGAGTTTCACATATAACGTAATACAATCATAAGAATATTCTGAACTGATACATAACCTATTACTCCAAATTCTCCCAGATTCCTTGCTTTATTGCTCATTATTGCTCAGTGGGTCAAACTGTACCCAGATATATTAGAATAGGTAACTTGTGCTTAAAGTATATATATTATAAATTATTTTTAAGTTCCCAGACTGTTAACCCTTTATTCCCCGACTTTAGATTTTCTTCCCTTGTATCTATATTTATGTGTTAGTACATACTTTACTAGGATAAAAAAAGTGATGCTGTGCATTTTGAGCCATAATGTAAAACATTAACAAAATTAGCAACAATGTAAATTTGCATAGCATTGATAAAAAGAGAAAAGGCCAAATGAACCAAACATAAAGACCTGAAGCTAAGTAAATCATTTTACATGTTAAAAGGTTGACAGTAGAAATAAAGTGCAAATTGTCAAATTGAATAGCAACAGGAAGAAAACATAGTTTTTTTTTTTGGAAACATTAACAACTAAAACAAAAATAAAGGCATATGACAGTATGAGGGGACTGATACAGTTTAAGCAGTTTAATTCACTGACTTTTCCCTTCAAGAAAAAACTATTACAGATATAATCATCCTCTTTATCTCCTCTGTTCCAACCTGACAAACCGATTGTTTGTCTTTGTATATAGGCTTCTTGATCGATCAGCTATAAGTTAAGGAAATAGGCGATCCATACATTCGCCCGATATCATCCCGTATCGTCCCAGAACCTCTGCGACGAAGAGAAGGGTAGCGTAGAAGCGTAGAAGGGTTGTTCATGTGTCGATGGGTAGTCTGTTCCATTGTCACAGAGACCTTCACTGGTAAGATTTTAAATGGGTGTTTATGCCAAGGTTCAATGTATGGAAACAGCTTTCAGTGAAAGTGAGTGTGGATGTCTGAATGTGTGAGTTAGTATCAGCATCAGAGAACGACAAGTTTCCTCTATTTCAGTCCAGATTCACTCTGATCCTCCGGAGTATCATTTGCTACCGGAGAGCATTGCTTCAAACTATAACATTGCTAAGTATTTCGCTTCATCATAACTTGTTTCCGAGAATCCAGACTGAATGTATCTCTTCTTCTGGTCAGACTTTGCTAACACACCCCGTTTGTATGCACGGGCTCTAACTTGAGTTTCAGTGTTGAATTACCCTCGCCTCCCTTGTGTGTATTTAGTCTCTGTGCTCCCTGTTGCCCTTGTTATTTCATCTGTTGATCTGTTGTACTTGTGTTTGCTTCTGTTTTTTTTGCTCCCATGTTTGACTTTTCCACTTTGTTTTGCCTGTTTAGTTTCCATTGTTTTTGTTGGATTGGTCATAAGTGTCTTTTTTGTTTTAAAATGTGGGACCTTAACACTCCCAAAACTGACAAAATGCAGAATAAATACTTATTTTAAGCCTAAGAACAAGCCATGAAGAGAAAGTCATCAAGACTGATCAGGTGAAAATATCCTTCCATTACCCATACCGCTTAGACCTATGGGGTCACGGGGGACTGGAGCCAATCCCAGCTGACACTGGGTGAGGGCGGGGGACATCTCTTTAGAGGACATGTAAGGATTGTTGTGACGGCCTTTACTCACATTCACAAATTTGCCATGATGCATGCCCAACATGGAAGTTCGGACAGGCCAAGTGCTTAAAAATACCTAAAATATAAATTCTTTAAGCTCCTACATTGTTAACCCATTATTCCCTAACTTTAGATTTACAGGTACAATTAAAAAGATCCTTTGTGAATATGGTCTGTGGTGTTTCTCTGCTGTTTGTCTAGGATATGCGAGAATATACCACAGTCACTCTGGTGAAACAGGGAATAACTTCAACTCTTTATTGAAAGCCAACTCAGGGCATCCACCTATGTGCTTTCCAAAGCCTCTTTACCCTCTGATCATAGTTCACTCATTCAGAGTCAGTGATGTTCAGATGTTCCCAGTCCAAATAGAACTAGTACACTTAGAGAAATCCAGATCAGTTTCAGACCTGCAGACCTTCAGATACAATAATCCTCCTCTCCTACCTCTCTGTGAAGTGTGACAACCTCTTTGTTCTTTATCCTGTGGAAGTGTGTGAATCTATCGCCCCCCTCACGCTGCAGGCTTTCACAGATAACATGACACACTCACCACCCAGCTCTTCATATGTAATTGTAAAGGTTTAACACAAAAGCCAGATGGAGCGATTGAGTGAGTGAAATAGAGATAAGGTGTTTCTGAGAGGGACAAGGAGAGCACCTGACTGTTTCACTGTCTGACAAATGTTTTCATGTGGGAATAAAAAAATCAAGTGTAAGGGTATTATCACAGAGTCGTAATGAAGGTCCCTCTTTCTATGAGCAACACAGAGTCAGTATGAAGACCAGACTTTGCAGTTTCATTCTGACACTGGTGAAGTGTTTCAGTCTGTACTGATATCAAAGTCTCTCAGACTGAATCCGTTTTGAAATTTACGAAGCAACCAGTTTTTACATCTAACTTAAACCAGATGTAAACAGATGAGTTTGGATGGATGCTATTTACAAGTCAGAAACTTGTAATTATGATAACTTTGACATGACGTGAGCACAGCAGCATACTTTATCAGAACTTTGTCAGATGATGGGTGTGGGTATGGAAACGCCCTCTCCCTACACCTTTCCCATTTCTGTTACTTTTCATGTGAACAACTGAGGTCAACACTGTCTTCAGAAAAGGTTGATTATCATGTCTCCTTCCCTCCCTATGATGAGAGACTTTTTGTCTCCTGCTTGGTTCGCCTACCACTTTGCTCCAGACTTGGTATTCCTAGCTACAGACATTCATGGTCCACAGAGGAAGACTTCTACAGACTTTGGCGATCCTCTGACCTTTTCTCTGTAGTGCTACCATTTAGGTTGATTTGTGCTTTAAAGTGAAATACCTCAACAATTGTTGGATGGATTGTGATGAAATGTGGTTCAGACGTTCATGATAATTCAGAAACTTAGAAGGTAAGAAAGTAATGTGTATTAAACAATTTTTAGCTCTTGCTACTTATATTTAGCTTCACTGTCTGTGTAATGCATGTGAGCAGAGATTTGAGGGCGTGAGCCACTGATGGGAGTGAGGCAGGCAGATGAGATGCTAAGCTAACGTCAAGGTTAAGAAATGGTTTGGCCCAATGGTATGTACCAGGGCGCTTTGGAAAATTTGCAATATACATTATTGGACCAGGATCAGTTATAATGGCAGACCATATTACGCGCTACATTAAGATGGAGATGGGGAAAAAGGAGATTTAATCCCTCTTCAGTCTCCCTACAGGTTCAACACATGATGCAATCCCTCTGTACCCTCACAGTCTGTCCTGAGATACAGTTCCTGCTCTTCTCTTTAGCTCTGCCTGTAACCAGTCTACCTGGAGCTCCTACTGACCGAGTCCTCCCAGCTGATTGCGTCCGGCCTGATCTGTGTGTGGATCACAGACTCTCTGACAGACAGGAAACAGCATGTGAGAATGAGCGAGGCTGAGCAGACTCACTGTACGGCACAGAGCTTCCTCCTCT